CTGTAGCTCTCCATGTTCCTGAGGGTTTTACCTTTAATGTATGGCTGAAAGGAATATAATAATTAATCATACTAAATTTTGTTTTAGGATGATAGCCTCCCCCCCCAAAAAAAAAACAGTCTCACCTACACATTTAAAATTGTACCGACAATATAATGTTTTTTGTTTTTTTTTCTTAAAGATTTATTTATTATGTACGCAGTGTTCAGTCTCCATGTATGCCTGCAGGCCAGAAGAGGGCGCCATATCTCATTACAGATGGTTGTCAGCCACCATGTGGTTGCTGGGAATTGAACTCAGGACCTCCTGTACTGAGGAGGTCAGGAGTGCTCTTAACCTATGAGCCATCTCTCTAGCCCCAATATAATGTTCTTAACTTTAAGTTTATAGCATAAGTCTTTTGGCTACCCATGAAAAGTCCTGACAGGATTCTTTAGACAGTGTAGATGCGTATACATATAATCATTATCCATATTCTATTGAGAAAGACAGTTATTCCCATTAAATGAGTGCAAAACAAAACCTGTATAAGGTAGACCACCTGGGCCTGGAGAGATGGCTCAGTGATTAAGAGCACTGGATGCTCTTCCAGAGGACCCAAGTTTGATTCCCAGCACCCACATGGTGGCTCACAACGGTCTGTAACACCCTCTCCAGGGGATCCAATACCCTGTCTGGACTCCACTGGCACCAGACACCCACGCAGGCAAAACACTCAAATACATAAAAATAACTTTTTAAATAGACCACCTATATACGTCTTAGCTTGAATGACAAAACATTCCTATGCTCTCTGTTCTAATGTTCACAGGGCACTGAAAGTTACTATATAACAAATGAGAACAATAATGAGTAACATGTGCAGATTGCAGCCAGAATAATATCTGAGAAGCACACTGCATTCAGCTCACCGCTAGGTTACACCACAAGGGACCACCCTCTGCTTGTGGTGTGCAGGAAGGAAAGCAGACCTTCGCAGCCCATGCTACGTTAGTAATCCTTCGAAGTAGAGTCACTTACTGCTTCCAGAAAAGAAAAGGCAACCGTGGAAGACAGGCTTGAATCATTTCAGTCTTGCTGAAAGCCCACAAGTGGGTCAAACAGTGAGCACATACAGACATAGACACATCTGGGAGAAGAAAACAGCATTGTTCCGATGCTTGCCTACAATAGAGCTAGTCACTGTTGGTACTTAGAAAGCCTAAAGTTTCGATACTCCCAGCCCTGGACATATAGTTCATGATCAGCACTAGGAAGAATTAAATAGCTGTGTGGCGTGGTTGCTCTAAGCCATCGTAGAAATTGTACAACTCCAAGAGCATGTGCAAAATCAAGAAAGCAAATCCTGGTGAGGAGTGTAGTCACCTTTGAAGAGCTGGAAGGGCCATGCTCTGCGGAACCTGGGTGCAGGAAAAACTCTGCCTTATGCTCATGAATGCGCAGTGATCTCTCCTGTCCTTGTCAAGGAGGCATCTTAAACATCCTAACAAAAGCAACCGAAGGGAGAGGGTGTTTATTTCTCTCAGAGTTCTGGTTCCAGTGCATCCAAGGAACTAAGGCGGCAGAAGCCTGGGAGTCACGTTATGCTTGCTTTGTTGTGTGTCCCCGTGTCCCCACCCTGTGTAGCAAGAAGCCACTTTTCAAGTAGTCGCCTTAAAAACAGCACCCAAGAGAGTGTCCCTCCTCTGAAATGCCAGGGTTCTGCATGCTTCAGAACTCAGGATTCTCAAATGTGGAATATGTGCTTATAGATAATGAGCTACTGTGAAGATGAGCCCCAAATCTAAATATGACTTTCATTCATATTTCATAAAAATTATCTCATATTATTTATGACCAATTGTTAATTAAATAATTGAATAATTGTTAGTGTTATTAAATATTAACATATAAATAAATTATTATTATATAAATTATTATAAGGTTTTACATAAGCCTGAAACACGGGGCCAGAAGATAATTTTATGTATTTCAATGTGTTTTGACTGTGACTTGTCACATGAGATCTGATGTTGAATTTCCAACATCACATTGGCACCCAGAAAGTTTCAGGTTTTGGATTTGAGGGACAAGAATCCTCAGTGGGCTCAGTGGGTAAAGCATTTGCTATGTATGCCTGTGATTGAGTTCAAATCCCCGGCACCCACAGCAACATGGGTGTGGAATCCTAACAGTCTTGGAGTGAGATGGGAGGCAGAGAGCAGGGAATCCCTGGAAGGTTACTGCAGCTAGTCTGCCATACCCGGCAGTGAGCAACAAAAACAAAAAGAGCTCCTGTCAGACAAAATGAAAGGGGAAGATCCAACATTCAGGGTGATCCTCTGACTGCTGGTGTGGGTTTAGCACACACGTGTACTCACATACACACACACACACACACACACACACACACACACACACACACCTCTGTTCGAAATCTTTATTGCTGACTTTAGTTTTACTAGTCAGAATACCCCCTGAAACACACCCATCTCTCAGAGTGGCCACCAGCTGCCCCAGCACCCTCTGCTATAGCCTGGACATGATACAGTGCAGACACACATGCTCTTCTGCTTCTGTGAGTTGACTTGGTGCCTTCCAGGTTGTGCCTATTCTGTAATGTACTTACCCAGGTTGTGCATCTCAGTGTACTTGCCATTAATTAAATACTTGCTAGATCACTGAGATAATCTAAAGAAAGCTATTGCTAAGAAAACCAGGTATTACAGTGTGGAGCAGAGACGGGAGTCGCTGGCTGTGATCACCGAGAAGAAGGGACAAAAGGTTTAGTGTAGTTCTTTCTGAAGCTCCTGTAGGTCATTGGTTTAGCTCGCTATGTGGGTTCAGTTCATAAAAAGGCTCCACAATGTCCTAGCTCCACAGTGTGGTTTTATAATGTGTGTAGACTGGGAGCCGTTCAAGGGAGTTTGATAAATGTTCTCAAAGGCTTCCCTTCATTTATGCCCACTGCCATTTGCTTTCTATAGCATTTCTGGTGAGCATTCTTTTCTGACATTTACTAAATGTCAACCGTAGCCCGTGTTTAAAACCTTGTTGGCCTAGGGCCAGTGGGCTTACCAATTTATATTAGCCTGTTAAGAAAAATTAAATAAAACGTGAAAATGGAATGAAAATTGCTTTGAAGAGAAATGGAGGCAGACGCTGAAATGAGCCATTAGTAGCCTGATACTCGTTCTCTGGTTGAGTTCAGAGCTGTGCCATTCTGTACCGTTGCCAGACTCCAAAAGGAAATCCAAAGAGAAAAATTAAAAATAATTCCTTGCGATAGCAGCTGTTTACCAGTTTCTCTTCTGGATCAGCCTCTGAGAGCACAGAGGAGGCAAGTGGACCGCTCTGTCAGTGACTCTGCTCAAGCTGGGCTTCTCCAACTTCCCGCAGGATTCAGAGCTGCCCGGAGCTCACTCCTAGCTCGCTCCCTTCCTCTAAGCAGTAGAGCCTCCTCCAGGCACAGATTTGTGCAGAGTTCCCACTGCTGGGGATTATCAGCACAATCAAGAGTGTATGTAAAGACCTATCAGTTCCTTAAATGCCTTTTATTTTTCAAAAGAATAGCAAGTGATTTGCGAGTATTTGTTACACATCTGTGGTGGTTACTTTAATAAAGACTTTATCTCTGACTGAGGTGGACCAGCGCAGGCTGTAATCTAGTATTGGGAAAATGGAAGTCAAATGAGCCTCAGCTACATAACTAATTCAAGCCTCAGATGTCTCAAGATAATAATGGTGGTGGTGGTGATGGCGGTGGTGGTGGTGATATAGCTCTAAGATATTTCTGTGCATTAGCATTTTATACCTTGGCCGCTTCTTTTTGCCCATGTGTGTCTCCTTATCCATGGTGTGTGTCAGCGCTTTGCTCTGGAGTCCATGCAGGCCTAGAACTTATGACCCTCCTTCCTGCATCAGCCTCTAAGTGCTGGGATTACCAGTGTGCGCCACCACACCCAGCTCTAATTGCTATCTTAATAGTTGTCTGGACTGACTCACTGTTTAGTCTTCCTGTCTTTCTATTTCCAGCGCAGTATGGACAATAGATTAAGTTAATTGTGCCGCCGCCAAAGCACTCTGTCTTAGAACGTTTCTATCATTATCTTGGCATTTATTTCGAAAATGGCTTTTTAAGATGCATGGAAAATGCTTCAAATTTAATACCAAATGTGATATTAGTATAAACACTGGTGCTTTCTGTTCCTGGTCCATGTTTGCAGAAAAGGCTATTTGATTTCTGCATGCGTGTTCGTCTGTGCCTCTGGTGTATATAGACTGTGCTCTAGCATCTGATATTTCCTTCTCTTGATACTCATGATGCTGTCTGAGGATGGGATGAAAGACCAGCCAGCTTCCCACTATTAATTTCAGTAGTTTTGTGTTGTTTTACATTACATATGACTAGCACTCGGAAGTTTCAAACTTTTCCTTTCAAGACACTGAATAGAACCTATTTAGTAATTTGGTTGTTTGGCTTTGTTTATCTTAGAGGTATTTTGCTTTTTACATACATGTATACAGGGGAGAATGTGTTTGTGAGAGGCAGGTACCCACAGAGGCCCAAAGAAGGCATCGGATCTCCTAGGGCTGGAGTTGCAGGCAATTGTAAGCTCCTTGATATGGGTGCTGGGAACTGAATCCTGATCTCTGCAAGAGAAATGCATCCTCTTAACCACTGAACTGTCTCTTAGCACCTCAACAGTTTGTTATGCCGTCTCTTTGAATTAAATTTCTGTTGTCACTTAAAAGGCTTAACAAAGCATTATGTCTCCGGGGTATCACCTACAGATAGGACTTTTGTTATCCTTTTTGTTTTAAATTTCCCTTGAAGCGACAGACAGGCTCACAAAGCCCCAACCATTTGCAACGCTTCCCTCATAGTTCATCAGAAAACCAATCATCTAGATGCTTTGCTTCATGTATTGGTCAAAAACAGCATCTCCAATTTTCTTTTTTTCAGGAAACAGGAGTGATTGGTCATTCGTTACTGTTTTTGGTTGTTTTTTTTTTTTAAGGGTTTCTCCTCTTCAGAAGTCCGAGGTTGTTGAGATGGTCAAGAAACAAGTCAAAGTCATCACACTTGCCATCGGAGATGGCGCAAATGATGTCAGCATGATCCAGACGGCCCATGTGGGGGTTGGGATAAGCGGCAATGAAGGTTTGCAGGCAGCCAATTCTTCAGATTACTCCATAGCTCAGGTAAAGCCTCACGGCTCTGAGACATGGCTACCAACACTGCTTTCCAGCGATGGCAGTGAAGAGGAAAATGCTAACGTCTTTCCGTTCCTCTCCTAGTTCAAATATTTGAAGAATTTGCTGATGGTTCATGGTGCCTGGAATTACAACAGAGTCTCCAAGTGCATCCTGTACTGCTTCTACAAGAACATTGTGCTCTACATCATTGAGGTAGCAGCGTGTTCAACTTAGTCCTGCCCCTCCCATCCATAATTCTCACTGCTCTCTTTGTGAACGTCTTTCTCGGTGTTTTAATAAGTACTTCATCTTCTCACTTTTTAAGAAAGAAAGCAGTTTGAAGATTTGTTTTCTGTTTTCTGTAAATGGGTGTTTTTTGCCTGCATGTCTGTCTGTTTGTCTGTGCTCCATGGGCTTGCAGCACCCACAGAGACCAGGGCAAATCTCCTGGAACTGGAGTTACAGGTGGTTGTGAGGCATTGTGGGGACTGAAACCCTGGTCCTCCAGAAGGCAGTCAGTGTTCTTGACTGCTGTGCCATTTCTTTACTTTTTATAATGTCTGTTGTGTTCAAGCAAATAAGACGGCAGCCATGAGAATAGTCATCAATGTTTCGACACTAGCGCAAAGTATTAGGTCACTTTGGTAGGGAGTCGAAGTCGAATTGCTAATGAGTGATGTTTTTCATTTTTAAAACTTTGAAGACTCTAAATCTTGAGCTTGTATGGAATTTCTTCAGCCCACTGCTGACAGGTAATATACATATGGAAAACTGTATTTAGAAAGTAACAATCCAGGCTGGAGAGATGGCTCAGAGGTTAAGAGCACTGCGTGCTCTTCCAAAGGTTCTGAGTTCAATTCCCAGCAACCACATGGTGGCTCACAACCATTGTAATGGGGTCTGGTGCCCTCTTCTGGCCTACAGGCATACCCACAGACAGAATATTGTATACATAGTAAACAAATAAATATTTAAAAAAAAAAGTAACAATCCTGGTGATGGGGGAAAAAAATGAAAGCAAGGAATGAGAAAAATAAAGTCAAGGATAATGGTTAACTCTGGTTCAGGGAGGCACCTGAGTGCAATCAGGAAGTGCACTAGGTTTAGCTGTCAAGCATCCTTGTTGTCTTAGATCAGTAGATCTCAGCCCTCCTAATGCTGCAACCCTTTAATACAGTTCTTCATGTTATGGTGATCCCCCCCCCAGGAATAAAAGTAGTTTTGTTCCTGCTTCATAGCTGTAATTTTGCTACTGTTATGGATTGTAATATTAACATCTACTATGCAAGATATTTGTTACATGACCTCTGTGAAGGGTTGGTCAACCTGACCCACAGGTTGAGAACCACCATCTTAGCTCTTCTCTACCTCTTGCTATCCATGTCTTTTGGTTTCCAGGGTTGGCAAATAACAAGATTTTGAATAAGGAATTTCTCTAAAGCATTCTATCTCTAGGTTCTTTCCATATAGCAACTATAGCATCATCTTACAAAGGAAGCCTTAGTCTGGGGAGCTCCCTTGGTAAAGTAGAAGACTTATCAGTACAAGAACCTGAGTTCGAATCCCAGAGCCCATGTGAAAAGGCAGGCATGGTGCGGCATGTGTCTGTAATCAAGGCACTGGAGAAGCTGGTCCCTGGAGCTAACTAGCCAGCCTAGCCTGCTCAGCGAGCTCCAGGACAATGTTTCCAACAAACAGTGGGGAGCTCCTGAGGAAGGATTGTTGACTGAGTTTTCTGTCCCACCTGGTTCCCACATTTGTTAAGTCCCAAAGAAATCACACAGAGGTCTACATTAACTATAAACTGATTGGCCCATTAGCTCAAGCTTCTTATTAACTTCTATAACTTATATTAGCCCATTATTCTTGTCTATGCTAGCCACATGGCTCGGTACCTTTTTCAGCAAGGCAGTTACATCTTGCTTCTTCTGTGGCAGGCTCACAACTGTGGAGCAATGGGCTTCCTTCTTCCCAGAATTCTCCTGTTCTCCTAGACCCACCTCTACTTTCTGTCTGATTGTCCCGCCTATACTTCCTGCCTGGCTACTGGCCAATCAGCATTTATTTAAAATATAATTGACAGAATATAGACCACTGTCCCACACCAAAGGATACCTGGGGTTGACCTTTGGCCTCCATACACGTGCACACACATGGGCATCTGCACACATGCAAACACATATATACACCCAGAGAATTCAAGCCTGGTTTTGCCCTGCAGATATTTTGGTTTCAAACTAGGCATCCAATAACAGACAGACATGTCAAGCACAGGCCATAACCCCAGCAGCTGGCTGGTGAGTACAATGCAAGCCGCGTCTGTAATTTTATGTTTTCGAGGTACTGCGTTAGCAAATGCCACAGCAAAAACCCAGCTGATTTCAGTGTTCTGTTTTAAGTCAATTTATTAAAAATATTACCACCCTCACCAATGTAAAAAATATGAATATTTTTGCACTTGTGCTTACATTCTACGTTCTTTCCTCCATGCCCATATGTACATATTTTGCCTTCAATCTATCAGAGACTGCTTGTTTGTTTTCCGGCCACCCAACCCAAATAAACACACAGAAACACTATATTAATTACAACACTCTCTAGCCTAACCCATTTCTATTCGTCTGTGTATTGCCATGAGACTGTAAGGTTCTGGCAGCAGCAGAATCTTTCTCTTTCAGCAACTACATGATGTCTCCTTGACTCTTCCTACTCTCTTTCTCTAACTCTGTTCTGATTTCCCATCTGGCTTTACTCTGCTAAGCCGTTGGCCAAAACAACTTTATTCATTAACCAATAAAAGCAGCACATATACGGAAGGGCTTCCCACATCACTTCAGCGCATCTTAATTTGGTCTGAGTGCATGTCAAATGTTCTAACATGCATGTGGCCTTCAGAGCAGAGCAAGCACCACAGTGTTGGTGGATACGTGAACAAGAAAGGTTATTCAGTTGTTATTTTTATCTTTTGGCATTTATTATTTTGCAGATGTGGATGTAGACATACAAAGTTCAGAAGACAGAAAATCAGAGGACAACTTGCAGGAATGTTTTCTTTTCTTTTTTATTTTATTTTATGTAGTTATTTATTTGGTTTTTAAAGACAGGGTTGGTTGTTCTGTGTAACTTTGGCTGTCCTAGAAATCACTCTTGTAGACCAGGCTGGCCTTGAACTCACAGAGATCCACCCACCTCTACCTCCCAAGTGCTGAGATTAAAGGCATGCCATTACCCAGCTTGGGAATCTATTCTATCCAGGTTCATTACATGGGTTCTGGGGATGGAACTTTGGTGTGGAAAGTTCTTCTGTATATGTGTTGCTTTTATTGAGTAATGAATAAAGAATCTTCCTTGGCCTATGTTAGGGCAGAGTAGATCTAGGCAGGGAAAACTAAATTGAATGCTGGGAGAAAGAAGGCGGAATCAGGAAAAGCCATGTAGCCCACTGTGGGGAGACAGATGCACTAGAACCTTGCCGGTAGGCCACAACCTCATGGCGATGTACAGATTAATAGAGATGGGTTAGTTTAGGATACAAGAGCAAGCTAAAAAAATATACTTAAGCTATTAGCCAAACAGTATTGTAAATAATACAGTTTCTGGGTGATTATTTCATGATCTGGGCAGCCGGGAACAAACAAGCGGCCTCCCACTACAGAACTTAGATCTTCAGTCTTGGCAGCAAGCATCTTTGCCTCCTGAGCCATCTCAAAGGCACTTTGTCAGTTCCTTGCGTAGCTCTTAGGAACTGGAACTGACGGGAGGGGGAGCAGTGACAAGGCAATGAAGAAAAACATACAGAAACCTGGGGCTGAGTGGTCTGGGCTCTCTGCTGGAGAACTACCTCACCCAGAAGCTGAGCATTCTTATTAGAAAGGGCTGAACATAGAGGCAGGGGTATTACATACACCTAAAGAAGGAGCGGGGATATTACGTATAGATACACAAGGAAGTGGGGTTTGTGGTATACAGCTGGGTAAGGGGCCAGGTCCAGCTACTCTGTAGGGCGGTCTCTGTAAGCCAACAACCTTCGAGCTGTAAATATCTGGGGAGAAAGCTGTGGTGGGCGTTTTCTGCCTACACCGAGAGCACTCACACCTGGTGGCCCGAGGAAGGCTTTGCCAGTCCCTCTGAGCCTCACCCCAGGGGAAGAGCTTTGCCGGTTTCTCCATAACTCTGGGCCTGTGGAGTTGTCTCATCATGGCTATGCCCCTATCACCAACCCACACTCACTCAGTACTTCACTCACTCAGGGCTTCCTCCGCTCCCCACGGTTTCTTATGGGTTTTGTTTTGTTTTGTTTTAATATCTGGCCCCTAGGTCAACGGAAACTGTATCCTAATAATGAACCTCCAGATAGTTCCACGTTCCTCTGGACAGCTCTGAGGAGTATGGATAATGTTCAGAAAGCTATCTTCCACTCTTTCTAGGACCTGCCCACATCCTCACAGACGGCCGTCTGTGCCACCTTTCCCTCTATTCCGTGGACATTTCGAATTCTTCTGATGGAAGGACATGGTCCACATACTTCTTTATGGAAATAAGATCCATTTTTACTCCGCATCTGCTGTGTTAGTTGGAACTGCTAGGTACTTGACTCAGTTACCTCTGTCAGAATTCTTGTTATGAGTTAGATTGGGATGTGGACTCCTAATGTTGAGGTCTACAAACTGTGTCATCTCTTCATCCCTTCACATCTGTAGTTAGGTTACCATGCTCTTAGCTAAAATACCAAATACATGGAAACATAGCATCATTGATTACCACTAGATTTGATCTGGAAAACCTGTGTTTAATACAGACGTTCAAAGTAATTTATAAGTTTTGTTGTTGGGTGTTTGTTTGTTTGGTTTTGAAGTCAGGAGTTTGGCACACACCAGTTATCCTCGTACTTGGGAGGTGAAGACATGAGGAATAGCCTGGGCTACCAAGTTAGACTGGCTCTAAAATGAAGAACAATAGAAACAACAAAATGTTTGCTTTCTATATAAATTTGTGGTCCTTCCCTAAAAGAATTATCGTTATTTCTGCCCCCTCTATACATCTAACTTTCCTAATTATGTGTTCTCATTTAAATCAATGAAATTGTGATATACTTTATTTATATAGATTGTTTTAAGACTTTTAAGCCAAAAATGTAAGGTCTGTCAACATAAGGCTGTGTATAAAGTATAATTTTTGATGAAATAAGTTTTTATTTTAACTATAGACTAGTTGACAATCAATTGGTTTTTTTTTTCTTAAATCTAGACTGACAGCAATAGTGAAGGGTGAAGACATAGGTTCTAATGGGGAAACTTAAACTTCATTTAATTCAAGTGAAAATGAAATGTTCACGCCCTGTTTCGAACCCAGAATTATGTGATTTGTGGTTACCCAGCCCTGAATTTGACTTGGCTTTGAACCTAAAGCCTCTTCATGAGCTATTTAACACTGATCGCATTCTTAAGGGGTTAAAAGGAAGCGAGATAGAAACTCCGCTGGAAGCTTCATTTTTATTTTTCTGGTAGCACTTTTTTAGAAATGTATTTTGAATATTATTCAACTGTCCTGGACATGGGTTGAACTTTTAAATCAATTTCCCCCCATACCCAACTTCTGCCAGCTAAAACAAGTTCTGTAGATGTTAATGGCTCATGTCAATACTGAGCATGAATAGGCAGAAAACACGTCTCTGAATGTCTCCAGCCAGGACAACTGCCAGTCTGGGATCTCTCCTTTCTGTTTGTGTGCTGATGGGGCGTGGGAGCAGGGACCCCACTGACTCTTTGCAAGCTCCTGCTTAAAATGCAGAAGTGCTCCATCAGGAAGATGTCTGTGAGGCTTTAGCTGACAGGCCTCTGTGGGAAGGGGCGGGGGGGGGGGGAGCTTGCAAAAGAAAGGTCTTAAACCCAAAGGGCTTTCTTGCCATTGGCCTGCCAGGGCTATCACTAGCTAGCTCCTCTGTTGCTGTGAATTGCAACCACACACAGGTTCGGCAGGTGGCGATAGACAACTTGCTCGGGTCGCTGCCTGGCAGTGGCTGTAGGTGTTCACTTAAATCACTGACTCCTTTCTTCCCCTTCCGAATCCCCTGATCCCTTCCTAACAAAGAGGAACTTTTCTTTAAGATACTTGGTGACATCTAGGTTTTCTTAGAGCCCACCAAAACAATGCAGTGTTTCTCCTTTCTAGAAAGTCATGAAACTCAATAAGGTGGTACTTTCTCAGTAAGCTATGCTGGGAAGTAAATTCCCTGGGAATTTAAATAATCTGGGCACTACCCTGGAAGGTCTGATGCTTTCTTTTGACATCCAGGGCTTTAGTTGGGTGAAAGGAGGGACTCTGTGTGCTTATGGTAATTCAGGTTCTGTCTTAGGGGTGTGTTTCTAAGATATGGCTTGAACTGCAAATCTCAGACTGATCTGATCGTGGTAGACTATTTTTCTGTCGAAGATATTCTCTTTCTCCTTAAACGAAAAGCAGAGCGCAAACTTTTGAATGCCAACTGTTTACATAAAGATGTCTCCTGTGTTGAAAGGCTCTGCCCTTATGTAGGCATTTGAGTCTGTTCCCTTTTAAAAAGAAAAGCAGCACAGAGACTAAGCTTTGGAAGTACGAAGGATAAATTTCTAAGCACATGGCACATATCTTTCATCCAGAAAGCACAGGGATAAAAATGTGTTCACTCCCACTTAAATGTTTCCGATTATAACACAGTCCGCTTATGTATTTTAAAATATACTTTGAACACAAACGTGCTGATTTATTCGTGAGCTATTTTGTGTTTGAAACCTTGTCTGTTCATCGGCTCGAAGGAGGGTCTTAAACTCTAATCTCGTACTCTGTAATTACTGGCCATTTACACTTTATTAACATGAGCTTACGCAGTATCAGCTTTAACACAGTATCATGATTTAACAATGCATTTAAAATTAGTCATTCCCTGTGCGCTGGATTGGAGACATTCACACTTAACACTTGTTCAGCCATTTCCCTTCCACTGTACACACGGAGAAGGCCAGGACAGAAACTGTTCATGGGATGGGGGCAGGGGGCGTCCTGGGTTCATACAGATGAATGTCGAATTTGTAGCCGTTCATGCTTCCACAATGAGGTTAAAGGAAACATGCAGTGTAGCAAGGTTTCTGCGACTCCAAGTGCTCTCTGGAGCCGCACATCAAGCTGTTCTTCCTGGCCGTCCGCTATTACTGTGCAGTGCGTGTATAAGCTTCCTACTGGATCAGGCGTCTTCCTTTTCCAAGTCCGCTTGATTTTTAATTATGTTTGGGTTGACTTTTTTCAAATGCATTCTTTTTCAAGGTATTGCCAATACTCACTTTAGTTTTGTATTTGCTTTAAATATGCTGAATAAAAATCATTATTACTCCTAAATTTTGTTTCCCAAGTTAGGGTTTCTCTTTCAAAGAAACTGACAGACATGTTCTAGTAATTAAAGACCTGACTTTATTTGGGCATTGAAATTGAAGATGGGCTCACAAGTGCCTGTCACTGCCCTTCCAGGAGATCCTGTGCCTCTGGTCCCTTCCGGTACCTGCAGTTATGTGCACACACCCACACGCAGACTCATACACCTACACAGAATGAAAAGTTAAAATTTAAATTTTAAGTTTAAAAGATCTCAGTATGCAAATTCAAATTTAACGTTCTGATGGCAATAGTTATCAAGAACCGCAGAAAAAAGAACAAAAAAAGGAAACATATTTAAAACATTAGTTTTACTCGAAATGTTTATCCCAAGGGAGGAGGAAGATAATGTAAGGCTTCAGTTAGGAATCATTTCTGATAGCAAGAACTGTTAAACCAGCTAAATCTCCACACTGCGAGTTCTGAATCCATTAACAGTGCGTTAAGGAGCTCTGAAAACCCCAACGCTCTTTGTGATGTTAAGGGGAAGAAGTAAGCTGTGATACTATACAGTTGGTCTCAAATAAAATAAACCCATGACGCTGTTTATATAAACTACGCACATGACACAGGAGAAAATGATGATTCTATTACTATAGGAAATTACTTCCTAAATAAATAAGTATAACATCTGTAATAAAAATAATCTTTAACCAAATCCTTCTAGGATTCTGAAAGGGGAATTAAAGCTATGAAAATTTAATGACATAAATATATTCACATGAAGAAGCAAAAAAGTACCCTTTTTTCTTTAAAATCTGCGATTGCTTGCCCATATAGATATTTAGATTTGACAAATAGAGCAAATTCTGTCTCAGATGGCAACTCTATAATGAATGTGCCCCTTTCAGTCAAAAGTAAAGACAGGAAATGTCATTGTCCGGAGCCCCACATACAGTCCCCTGGTGCTGCCTTTCAGGCTTCGATGTGTTGAAATTCTGTCCTAATTCTGGGACTCGGGACCTGTTTTCTTCCTAGATCTGGTTTGCCTTTGTCAATGGCTTTTCTGGACAGATCCTCTTTGAGAGATGGTGCATAGGACTTTATAATGTGGTAAGTTGAGCCCATTTGATAATCCCCGTTTTGTTTACGGCTGAAGATACGTGTAACAGCCCTCATCTGCCGTGTGGTGTAACGAGCAGTTTGTCCCTTCAGATGTTTACAGCCATGCCTCCCTTAACCCTGGGAATATTCGAGAGGTCGTGCAGAAAGGAGAATATGCTGAAGTACCCTGAGCTGTACAAAACATCTCAGAACGCTCTGGACTTCAACACCAAGGTAGGAGCTGCTGTCTGCTCGAGGGTTCAGAGGGGTTTTCTCTGTGGCGGAAGCTTGGGCCATCTGACCTGCCTCGGCCAGGAGCTCTAGAGTACCGAGTGTGGAAGCCATTTGAAGGTTCCGAGGAGGGAAGGCTAAGGAGTTTTGTTGGTTGGATTGGATTGCTTGGGGGTTTTGTTGTTTGTTGGTTTTGTTTGTTAGGATTTTCTTTTTCTTTCTTTTTTTCTTTTTTTTGATTTTGACGGTTACGAAATTAAAACGAACCCACTCTACATCAGCGTTCTTGGGGTAGCAGTGAGTAGATGTGGCCTGCCAGGCCATGTCCCTGTTCTTTCAGACAGTTGGAAATGGGTCACTTCTCACCAGCTAGTCACCTGGGACTGACACGGCCTGGGTTTAGTTGTACTGGGGTGAGGAGCATTATCTCGGTCTTCCCCAATCTCCCATCCGAGGAAATTCTCCTTAGAATCTTAGACTGGTTGAGTCGAACATTAAAACTATAGTCTCCAGGAAGTAACTTCCTGTTTGCTAGGTAGCCCTGAGGCTTAAAATTAAAAATGCAAGATGAAGCATCCAGCATTTTGCTTAAAACTGTAGTTTGCCTGGGTTGTTGTTTTGTTTTTTGTTTTTATCTAGAAAGTTGTTATTCTGTTTTCTTCATTACCCTAAAAAGTAACAGGTTTCCTTCTGTGTGATGATTTTAGCCTCTCTGTTCCTTCTCCCACAACCCCCCACCATGTCTTCGTACCCCCAGTCTTCCCCTGTACTCTTAGTTCTCATTGTTCTATTACCCCACCCATCGCCCTTTCTTGAGCCTCTTCCTTCTTTCCTGGCCTCTACTGGGTCCCTCACCTCAGTCTGTACATATTCTCACCTGAGCATGCATGCATCAAATTGAGGTCACAAGGGCAGAGGCAAGGAGACCGGGAGATGAGTGGGATTGGGATGCATGATGTGAAATGCACAAAGAATCAATAGTTTAAAAGAAATAACTAAATAGTTTTTTTAAAAAAAAAAAAAGAAGAAAGAGAGAGAGAGAGAGAGAGAGAGAGACTAAGAGCCACATACAAGAGAGAAGATACAGGGTTTGTTCCCTGCACCTGGGCCACCCTACTTAATATACTAGTTCCCAGTTCCATCCATTTCCAGTCAAGGTTCACGGACTCATTTTCCTTTATGGCTGAATGAAATGCTGCCTCGTGAATGTCCCCCATCATTGTTATTGTCCACTCATCTGCTGGTGGGTGTTTGCGCTGACTGCCTTGCTTGGGGTCATACTCTCCCGGACACCTCCTATGCCGCTGTCCTCCCCTGTGACCTGTGATAGTCAGTCAGTCATTCCAGCAGCAAAGACTCGCATTTCTGCCGAGTTTACTTTGCTGCGAGTGGATCTTCCAGCCTGTTTCCACACTAGGATTACATAATGATTCAGGTTTCTGTCTAGTGTAACTGAGAGAGTGAATTTAAGATGGCAACCACCAAGGTCTATGCCATTTTGAAACTCTAATAGCCTTGGATTAGGAATAAAACTAATGAACAAATGTAATACCTCTTTACTGACTCATTTCCACTTAGTTTAGTGCATGTTTAGTAATAAATTTGTGGCAGTTAGAGATAATTGCAATCCTGTGTTTTGAATTTACAGGCGTTTAGCATAGGAACTTTTAATATGCGCTAATTCATAAAACTCCCTAGTGCTATTTAGTCTCAGTGTACCAAGAACAACGTGAAACAGGTGTCTTGGTGCCTTTGTACTGCACACAGTAAATGATAATGTTGAGTCTATAACAGGAAGCTCTTTTTCTCCTGAGACTCAGTCTTCATTAACACGCTGTATGAATGTCCAGCAGCACACGTGCATATAACTGGTAGCTTCGGGTTAAATAATTGAAATTGCTCAATTAAAACATCAAACATCCTGATGCTTGCCTCATTTGTACTCTGGTTTTGAAATGCATTTTTAGTGATGTAGTCTTCAACTATCTCTCTTCACAGTATACAGTGTCTAAGTTGACGTTTTAGTGTTTTATTTTTTAGGGTATTTATTTATTGTGAACAAATTTGTCTCAAATTCCCCCACACATTGCCCCCATGGCTTTCATCATCAGTGGTGAACATTTTCAGATGATGAGAAACTTTTAAGGCAGGTGCAGTGGTCATGAGCTCTTATTTTCCTGTAAAAGCGATCTGGGAGCCAAGTGCAGACTGGTCCATTGACAATACTTCTCGCTAGCCTAGTGGGTTTTATCAAGCTCAGCTACAGGTCCTGGCCACCACAGTTTGGGCTCTGTGATGCTATCTCAGAAGGTAACATCCAGCCACAAACGTGGCCACGTCCCTCTTGAGTGAAAGCCCTCATTGATCCGCCCAGGATTACCTAGTAATTCCTGAAAAGCTACATTTGTCCTCGCATGCTCTCCACACATGACAATTATGGGCACAGCTTTGTGGTCAGGAAAAGGGCCTAACAGGTAGTCTGCTGTATTGATGTAAGAGTAACTTTTTTCCTTCTCTGTTTCATTGTTGAAAAGTACTTAATCTGTAGAGCCAGTCATTTAGAAAGACCCCATCCAGATCAACTCAGTTAGGCTACACAAGCCCCATATCTCTTTGGTAGGTATTTAGCTTATACATTCACTTGCCATCTATTTCTCTAGGGCTTATAGATTTTTAGCAAATGATTTCAGCGAAACCGTTTGATTGCATTCCATCTAAATGCTCTAAAATTCAGGAACAAATGGTTACAAAATGCATAGTTGTCTACACAGCGGTTGCCGAGGGTCCCGAGTGTGGAAGCATTGTTCCCTTGAATGATGAGGCTTACGTTTGTTATGGTAAAAGGGGTCGGAGGTCCTGAGGTCATGACAGGGGTTAAAGGATTAGCATGTGACAATAAGTATCACTGGGGGAAAATGGAAAAGTAGAACTAATTTTTCTTGCACCCACCTGTGCTTTCTGTCAAATAAAAACTTGTGGTACTGACATAGTGAGGGGAGGCAACAGAGGTTAATGAGTAACACAAGTTCAGATGTGTAAAGTGCTGGAGCGTAAATTGGATCATACAATCCAGCGTGGCTGGGTGAACTAACAAAAGAGGCTGAGATCAGAGTGGAAAAGTTTGGGAGGCGGGCAACTGAATTTCTGCTGTTTGGACAGCTAAAAGCTATTAATACATGCCGATTGCATTTAACATTAAGCTTTGTTCGCATGAAGCCATCCTAGATGGTGACACTCCAGCTGCTGGGGGCTCATGAAGATTCTAAGCAGTATCCTGTAGCTTAATCGTTCACGTTCTGTTACCAGTCCCACCGATGCCGGCTCTCCTGTTCATAGACAGAGGAGCTAAGAAGTGATAGCTGTTAAGTGGCTGGGGTGATTGTCTGAAACTTCGTTCTGACAGATGTTAAACAATGGTAAAAAAGCCTTGGATAAGTTCAGACATAGTCACAATACTTTATTTTAATGAATATATAATCTAAATGTTAGACTTGGTCTTTGTGTCCACAGTCTGTGCGTGTGCATGTCTGTTGCCAGAGAGAGAGAACGGCGTTATATATTTGTACCACGGAAACATTTGCACAGTAGTGGGACAGGAAGAGGGGGTGCGTTTCCCAGTCTTAGGCTTCTAAAGGTCGGTTCTTCGAGAGTTGTGAAAAGAATCCCAGTGTAAGAAATTCTGGGACCTGCATTTGTTATGAGATTTTTTTTTTACCCCTTTGGCCGGCAGAAATTTAAACTTTTGATAGTGATTTTTTTTTTAACATAGGAAAAAAAAATTCCAAGTGAAGCTGAAAAAACATCTTGAGAAACATAAAAATAAATAAATGACCCGTGAGCGTCTAAGGCAAAGAGTGTCTGTCAGTTCTGTGAATTCACAGTGGTGGCCTCGGCAGAAACACAGTTTAGGCATCTAGCTCGTAGATTAAAAGAAAGGGCAGAGGTCACAGCACGGGTTTATCGCAAATGGTTCTCATGGATTCTTCTTTTCCCTCAGGTTTTCTGGGTTCATTGTTTGAATGGCCTCTTCCACTCGGTTATTCTGTTTTGGTTCCCACTAAAAGCCCTCCAGTATGGTAAGTAGAAAGGATATGAATGCAAAGAGCTGGTGTCCCAACACTCGAGGAAAGCAAGTCATTGTCAATACGTGGTCCGCGTTACGGCAGGCTTTCCTTTCGCCGTTTTTCCTTAGTCGGAAATACTGTGTCTCCAAAAGTTGTGCGCACAATAGAGACTTTCATTACTCCTTGAAGTCACGTGATTAAATGTGCAAAGCCGTTCTTTCCTTCTCATGCTTCCCGAACTTAAAAACGTTGTCTCTTTCCCACTTTGCGCTGGTCTGCCGCGACAGCAGTGACTGCCAATGCCTGACGTCCTCTGTTCATTGTCCTATGAGGCTCACACTGAACCCTTTCCACTGAGCCTCACCAGTTGTGACAGCATTCTCAGGTGATCTTGAGCTGACATTTTTCATGTGTTTTCCCCTCCGTCTTGGAGTGTGCACTTTTGTCTCGGCTAGTCTCAAGGGAGTGATTTTATCCCATCAGTTATGAAAGAGAGGATCACGGTGTACTTCCTACAGACATAAAAATGATGAAGTGGGTGCCTTAGGGAGGAAGGATGTCTTTCATGCCTAGCCTGGTGCTTTGAGTCCCCAAGACAGGCCCCTTCCCTGGGATGCTAAGGAAGCTGCTGGCTCCTCCATTCTGTTCTCCAAGGCGGCAAGAATGAAAAACATTGGCTCATTCTCCACACAAGCAGCTGTCAGTCCTTCCTGAGTACAGGCATTTCCACCACCTATGAACTCATGGCTGTTTGCATAACTCCATACTGCCTGTTCCTGCCCCCATACAGCTCCTTTAACATGGGTTTCCAGGATGACCTTGATAAGACATAAACCAAGTGCTTCAAGGATTAACACACTTGCAACAAAGTCCTCCACCTCCAGAGTCTTGTGTGTTCTTCCCCAGAGAGGCTCTCCCAGATCACCCCAGTCCCCCTTGCTGCGGCCCTCACTTGGTCCCATAGTCATCCTTACGTCTGCACACTGCTTGCCTAGCCTGGCTTGATGTTTTCCTCTCTGCCTCATCTTCCTCCTCTAAGCGTCAGCAGGCTGAGGAGTGGGTCGGTTTGCTGATACTTGCTGTACTGGGAACAGTGCCTTGCTTCTTGTGGGTACTCAGTCAGCTGTGGCTGGATTACCGAGGCTCACAGGGTGAATGCGGAAGTGTTCAAGAGAAAGCAGTGGGCTCCTGCCTGAGCCGAGATTGTAATCTCCTTTGTCAACGACTCAGGAAATTGTAACAGTAAACACTGCTCAATTTCAAGATCATTGGAAATTTTTTTTTTATTGAGGTGTAACTAAGTTACTGCCACATTTACCTTCAAAATGCACCATTCAGTGGTTTTTAGTATTGAACTGTGTAAATGTCACCGTCATATAATGCCAGTGCCATATTTTAGCACCCCCAGAAAGAAATCCTGTGCCCGACAGCAATCACTCCCTGATTTTCCATAGCCTCCTCATAGCTCTTGGAAACCACTAATTTTTCTGTCTCTGTGAACTTGCCTGTTGTGAGCATGCCATGTAAGTGGAGTTCTGTACATGTGCTGGGCTTTTTCACATTGCAGTACCCATCAGTGATCCCCTTTCTGGTTAAATAATATTCCACTGGATAGCCATACCATTATTTAGTTACCCACTAATCACTTGGTGTACATTATGTTGTTTCTGCTCTTTGAAGCAATCAGATACTGAAGTCCAGGGTACAATTCAGGACATCCTGGCCTTAGTCAAATCCACCAAGTAAAGTTAGTTTCAAAATGTAAAATCAACATAGGAATTAAAAGCAAGATACTGCCAAAACCATGAAACTACCATTTCGACATCCTAAACTAGAAAAGGGAAATTTAATATCAAAAATAAGCCAAGCCAAACACCATACAATGCACTTTAAACATGCCAGATCTCTTGCTGTGTTTTCCTGGGAAACAGTCCACATCAGCGGGCTTCCACCCAGCCGTCCCCAGCAGCTGCTGCCTGGGGAAACCAAATCCAGAAAAGTCTCGAGGATCCTCGGCTTTTTCTTCAAAGAATGAGTTATAGGTAGCACGGGCTTCCGTCCCCAGTTTGGTGTTGAGAGCTGTGTAATTGTTCTGAAGTGAGTGCTAGGAGATTGGGAGACTTGTTGTGCTTCGGAAGGAAGGAAAAGCTGGAGCCCATGGAAGCATGCAACATGAAACGTAATAATCATTTTTAGTGGAACAGGTCCAAGAGTTGTCTATAGATGTCTTAGAAAACCCAAGAGCTTTTGGAAGTCTGTGGGGTCAGAATTTGAGTCTTTATCAATTTTAGTATTAGTCGGTTTTCTGTCTTTTTCAGTTATGATACAGACTCAGTGTGGGATAAGTCCCATGGTGCTTCGGTGACTAATCTCCACTGCCGTATACACCCAGTTTCACTTCAGGTTGCCCGTGAAGAAGCTGTCGGCCAGTGCTCTGATTAACCCTTGAACTCTGGTGTGTCTCAATAGAGTTCTGAGAGACAGGCTGGGCAGACCTGAAAGCACACAGCTCAGCATCTCACCCTGGGGGAAAGGATGTTCTCTTCGTGAGTTGAGACACTGGCTGCCACGGGATTAAAGTCTTGCGTGGCACCACGTGACCAGTGGATTTTAATGTAACCAGGTGCACAGAGGTCACTGGTGGAGTTTCAGATTCCGTGCTGGCAACCAGCCTTTAAAAAACAAATCCAAAAATCAGACCTCTACCTCTGGGGGTGGGAATGCTTGTTGAGTTTTGATGTCATATAAAAGAATTACTGGGAAAGATTACCAAAAGAAACATAGACACACCCATCATAACTCCGTGTATATCTCTACAAATCCGCATTTCTCTGAAATATTGTAACCAAAGCACCATGGGAAGAGCCCAGCTGTAGTCTGTTAAATTCTGGACATTAAGGAGATTAATGTAAAATAATGCCAATTTTCTCACTCATTTTTGTTTAGGAAAATAGTTATTTTTCATAAAATGTGTTTATATGACTTAGTACTGGGTTTATTACTGTTATTTTTAGATAAAAATACAGATTTTTTTTAATGTTCTGTTTTAATTTCTAATTTGGTAAATACTGATAGCTATAAAGCATGTATGCAGAAGCCCCTGGGGATGCGCAATCATTTCTGAGTGAGTCCATAGACCAGGAACGACAGCCAGTAGTTTAACAGAGCCATCCAAGTGTCCCTGCCTCCGCCCAGACAGCATATGTAACTTGAGTGAACCTGAAAACCACCCGAGTGGGGAGCCTCATGACGGAGCTGAGATCCCTGGGACTGAGTATCAATATTTTCCACCAGTAATAGCATCTCCTGGTTAGTTGCTACTCCTTCATCTGCAGTTATTTTTTGTTACTTATTCCTAGAATAACAAAAGACTTTAAATGTGCCCAGAAGTCCAGCCAGACCGTCAAAGCATCGTGTTCATGAGATCGGCTTGGTGTATGGTTTTTCATGTCTCCCTCTTGGTCCCATGTTAACAGCCTCGTTGAGAAGGGTCCAGTGACTCTTCCTGACGCTGTCAGCCTTCTGAAAATCTTATCCTGTCAATACCAGAACTTTAGGCTTTCCAAATGATTAAGAGTTCAACATTTTTGCGTATTTGTTTATTTTCATCTTGTGGAGTCTAAGAATTGGTTAGCAAGTCAGATTTCCCATTTGGTGTTTAGTTTGTGACCCGTCTGCAGCAGCTCCGTGAGGAAGAGCATGGTCTCAAAGAAAGACTTCAGTTCTAGCCCCACGTGCACCTCTAGGTTCTTCTCGTGTTCAGAATGACTAAGTTGCTGTCTTGGTTTTGAACCTTCCTCCATTTTCTTCCCTAACAAGCCTCTCTTCTTCCTTGCAGGCACAGTATTCGGAAATGGGAAAACCTCAGATTACTTGCTTCTGGGAAACTTTGTTTACACTGTGAGTTCTGCCCCCTTGCGTGCTTCTGTCTAAAGCCACTGCTTTTTGTCTCTGCCCCTTTCCTTTCAGACTTAAACGTGTGCAGGGTGGGGTTAAGGGTCATTTAGGGTTTCCTTTAAAAATGAAATAAGGCATTTGGAATATTAAGAACTTTCTACATATGGTTTTGTTGGGTTTGTTTTGTGTATTGGGCTTTTTTGTTGTTGTTTGTTTTGTTTTGAGATAGGACCTCACTGTGTAGCCCAGGCTGGCCTTTAACTCAAAGTACTCTTACCTCAACCTCAACCTCACTGTGTAGCCCAGGCTGGCCTTTAACTCCAAGCCCTCTTATCTCAGCCTCCCAAGTGCCAGAATGATCCCCTGGCACAGGCACACCACACCTGTTCTTTTTAAGTATGATTCGGAGTCACTGACTTTAAAAGATTTCTGTTACTTTGATTTTCAGTATTTCCTCTTTACTCTTACTTTCCCATTAATTCATGTTTAACTTTCTCCTCTAATTTATCTTACTGCCATCACTTATGTGTGTGTGTGTGTGTCTTACTGAATGCTTACAACATCATCAAAGTATTCTTGGGTGTGTAGCCAGTGATCTCTCTAAAGGCTTGTGCTAACTAACAGTAGAGTGATTTGGGACGGAAGAGGTGGCTCAATGGTTAAGAGCACTAGCTGCTTCTGAGGACCTGGGTTCAGTTCCCAGCACCCACGTGGTGCCTCACAGCCATCTGTAACTCCAGTTCCAGGGGGTTTTCACACTTTCTTCTGGCCTTGACAGACACCAGGCACACAAGTGGTACACACATATACATGCAAGGAAATATCCAAACACATAATATTTTTAATGAGAGAGACTCGCAGGCTTAGGTAACGTTTTCCCCACAACTGCCAGAGACCCACCAAGCTCTTCCCACTGCCTCTAAGATGCCAGAAAGCACTCAGACCATTCTGCTAAAACTCAAGAGGTCTGTGGACTGCTAGGGCCCTTGGTCAGACAGCTGAATGCAGAGCACAGTCATTCCAACCTGAACTGTATATTCCGTGACCAACACCCTGTCTATTCCTTATACACCTCACTCCCCACCTGTTCACTCACTCACTCAATCCTCTTTGGCCTCTGTGTAGAGAAAGCGGGCCAACCAGCTATTGGTGTGGCTGACTCTTTGATAATTGTCCTCAAGTGTCATTTTGAGCCTAAGAGCCTTTGAACTCAGAGAAGAACGCCTTTCAGTCCCCAACACTGAAAACTAAAATACACAAATCTCAAGGGTTGAAAGAACTGAATGATAAGAAATTAGGTTCATTTGCTGTATTGACTTGTTTGAACTCTCAACTTCACACAATCTAGAAGAGAGTCTTAATGAGGAATTTTTTAGACCCACTTGTCCTATGGGCGTATCTATCTGTGGGGATTGTTAATTGAATTGAGAAGACCCTCTATTGAATGTGAGTATCACCACTTCATGGTTTGGGCTTTGCATTATATAAAAATAGAGAATTCCAGCTGAGTATTAAGCAAGCGTGCACAGAGACGTGCACTGATTCTCTCTCTCCACTTCCCTGCGGCCATGATAAATAATTCTAGCTGAGTATTAAGCAAGCGTGCACAGAGACATGCATTGGTTCTATTTCTCCTCTTAACTGTGGATATGATGCGTGATGGTCCTGCCTTGATTTCCCTATAATAATGATGGGAACCAGGAATTGTAAGCCAGGCCAAATCAAATGTTTCTGTATTGCTCAAAGCGGGGTGTTCTATCACAGCGACAGAAGTCATACTCAGTCCGAGGGCTTCAGGTTTGGGAAAATCTTGGGATTTCTTTCCACTGGTGTCTTCCCACTGAAGGAGTAAAAAGAAAAACAATGGTTGAGAGGGTTGTTCTCTTATAACATGAATGCCAAAACAGAACTGTGTATATACTTAACTAGGTAGCTGAAAATAAGCTACAATTTATATTTTGGCTGTCTCTTGGGGACACACTATAACATCTCGGGTCTCAGACGAGTGCTTTGCTTTCATTCACTTTCTGGAAATTTTATGTAGCTTATGCTAATACTTACTAATATGGGTTTAGTATCTGCAGATATTAATCATAATTTACCAACAGATATCCTGATGAGAAAGCCCAACTGTACCCCTATACCTTAAATTTTCAAGCCTGCTCAAAAATGTCTAAACATGTACTGTCCCCAAAACCTGAAAGAAGGATTGGGCCCTATGGGCATTGGCAGTAGCCAGTACCAGGCAAGAAATACATTTTCAGTGCTATGAGTTAGTCCTAATGCCCAGAGTTTCCTTGATTCATGATGTTTCCGTTTTTTACATGAAATCATAAATAGGTCATAATAATATGAGCACTGGTCTGAGTAGTCTGTATTCAGTGTTTTAATCAAAAACAACCTTGTGAGGAAGACGCTCTCGTTGGTCTTTCATCACTACAGACAAACCTCTGCACAAAAAAACTGAAGAGATGAAGTTGATTTGCTCACAGTGTCAAAGGTGTTAGTCCATCCTGGTGGGAAGAGCAATGATTAATCTTGGTTGTCAATTTGACACACTTGGGAAGAGGAAATCTCAAGTGAGGAATTAATCACCTCCATCAGATTGGCCCGTGGGCATGCCGTAGGGCATTCTCTCGATTGCTAATCGATGTAGGTGGTGCCATCTCTGGACACATGGGCTTGGGCTGCATAAGCCAGGTAGCTGATTGTAAACCTAAGAGAAGTCCCTCTGGCCTCTGCTTCAGTTACTGTCTACAGGTTCTTGCCTTGAGTTCCTGCCCTGACTTCACTCCATGATAGACCTGCAAGGCTAAATCAGCTCTTTCCTTCCCAAGTTGCTTTTTGTCATGGTGTTTATCACAGCAGCAGAAAACAATCTAGAACAGAAATTGGTACCAGAAGTGGGGTGTTGCTCCAACTAACCTGACCATGCTGTGTGTGGGGAATAGTGTAGCGCGTCAGACTGGAAATGACATGGAGTGCTCAGAGCTTAATGGGCTGATCTGTGAGAGCTTAGAAGACAACAAAGACAGCCGTCTGAAGTGCCAGAGAGACGTTTGAGAGCCCCGCAAAGACTCTTGGGGCCATTAGTATAATATTTTGAATTTAAAGTCTGAAGTGTCTGGTCAGCTGGAGCTGAAGAATCAGCAGTGCTTAGCAAGAGGACTAGGGTCACGGAAGCAAAACCTTTTCTTTGCCAGGACAGTTGAACAATAGGTGCTGGGCAGCAGGGGCCAGAAAATTGCCATGGAGATTAATAAGAGACCTCCTCTCAGATGACTTCAGCCTGTGTCAATCTGACATAACACTAGACAGGACACCCATATAATCACCCCAAATGGTGTGTGGTTTCAAGAAGTGACTGACTCAGCAGGGTGGTGGTGCACATCTCTAATCTCAGCACTCGGGAGGCAGAGGCAGATGAATGTCTGTGAGTTCGAGGCCAGCCTGGTCTACAAGAGCAAGTTCCAGGATAGGCTCCAAAACTACAGAGAAACCCTGTCTCAAAAAAAAAAAAAAAAGAAAGAAAGAAAGAAAGAAAGAAAAAGAAGTGGCTGACTCTCATAATCCTACATTTGCAGAATTATATATACATAAAGTTCTAGAATAAAGACTGAGATTCTTAAACATCTAGTTGTTTTGCTTCTATAGTTTCTCTTTAAAATTCAGGAAGTGAAAAAGATTCTGTTAAAGGAAGCTTGAGAGCCCACATTAACACAAGCACATGCCATCAGTGCTCATGGATTGTACAGGGTACAACCAGCAGGGCCCTGGGTAGCCTCCTTGACGGGCTCTGTGGCAGTGAATGTGAGCAGAGGCAGAAGAGGGGCAGCAGCAAAACCATGCACGTGGCAGCTGTTGCCATGGCCCAACGAGTGCCATTAGCCTGAACAGTGAGTTTGAGAGGCACAGAGCTGGCTTCATGCACAGAACCTATTGTTCTTTGAAAGGGCTCTCTTGACAGAGTTGGATACCATGACACATGTTAGGAGACAAAGTAACATTTTTTCTTTCTGTTTTTAGTTTGTAGTGATAACTGTGTGTTTGAAAGCTGGACTGGAAACCTCATACTGGACATGGGTAAGAACAACTCTTGGCACGTGTCTCTTTATTACAAAGCCTGCAGTTATTGCTTGCGGAGCATTGGGCACAGAGGGAGGGAAGTAGGGACTGTGCGTTGAGAACATTGACTTAAATGTGTTTATTATTGAGACCTCTCGAGCCTTTAGCAGTGTTGTACACTGTCACCAGCTCACAAAGATGGAGTCTTTCAGGCTAGTGATGCCATTGGACTGGTGTTCCACAGGAAACCTGTTAGAACAAAGAAAATTAGTTGAGATATAACAAGCTTTCTTATGAGACTATCGTTGGATTGCCAGCCCCCAAATAATGAAATGGAGACTTTTTATTAATTATGAAAGCTTGGCCTTTAGCTTAGGCTTGTTTCCAACTAGCTCTTATAACTTAATTAATCCATTTTTTTTTAATCTACGTTCTGCCATATGGCTCAATTACCTCTTCTCGGTACAGCACTTTCTACCTGCTCCAAATCTGCTGGTGAATCCTGCCTAGGTCCCTCCTCCTTTTCCTCTTTCTCCCTGGAAATCCCACCTATCCCCTCTTGCCTAGCTATTGGCCATTCAGCTCTTCATTAAATTAGCTAGAAGACGCCTTGTCAAAGACACGTCTTCACAGTGTGCAAAAAGATTATCCCACAACAATGAGATACCTGTCTTCAGACACTTAACAAATGAACACTCGGTATAAAACATGTTCTACTTTCAACACATTAGTTTTGCAGCTTGTTCACTTCTAGATAGGGAGAGTTACTACAGAAAACATAATTATAGTTCAGTGCTCAAGGAGGAGGGAAATGAAGTGAGAAATTTGGATTTGACATCTATTGACTTTCGTGTAATTCTTTCTTGTGTGTCTAACGTCTTTGAGGAAGAGCTTGCAGAGCAAGGATGAAGGAGAGTGGAAGCTATGGGTAAAAAGGATAAATGTCAGAGCAGAGGACAGTGGAGGCAATTGCAGGATGAATGCACGCAGTTATAGCCCAATCCCGGGAGGTGGGGTTTTTCTGAATTTAGTACAGATCAGAAGAGACTCTGCAACCGTCTTCATAACGTTTGCATGCTTGACTGACCCAGATTTCCTTCCTCACAGTTCAGCCACATTGCCATCTGGGGCAGCATTGCGCTGTGGGTGGTGTTCTTTGGAATCTACTCATCTCTGTGGCCTTCCGTTCCCATGGCCCCTGATATGTCTGGAGAGGTAATGTATGTTAATGACTCATGACCCAGCAGAACCTTAGAAATGGGTATCCCGTTACCGAACCCTGATCCCACTCAGCATGACTTTCCATCTTGAGGGTCTCTGGTCAACTGCGTTTGACCACCCTCAAATGCCACAGGTGGGAGAGATAAATCTCCAACCAGTATTTTAAACTTCAACATTTAACTTAAATCTGACTTATCCTTTAGTAAACACACTGGAACAATAAAATATGGTTGTAGGGAATTTGAATCTTGTCACGAATACCCATATAGAAGATACCATTTTAAAAAGTAGACCATAAATCCACAAGTACGCTCAGGATAAGAGACTTAGGGAAATGGTGTGTGGCTCCTTCTTTGGGACAATCTGTCATTCCCTCTGTTGTCTCTGATTCCAAGACGAAGTCAGTCATCACGAGATGAAATGTGCTTTTCAGGTTGTCCAAGGACAACAGCTTGACTCTTCATTTTGAAGGAACTGAGGCACGTGACATCGCAACCTTATCATACTCCATTTTCAATTCTGTCTTTCAGTTTCTTGTTACACTGGGAGGAATTGAGTTATTAGGTGCTCATAGGGGAGTGTCAAACTATCCCCTTTCCTTCAGAAGAGGGTCCAGCAGTAGGAGGGTTTATGATTTCAATTGCAGGAAATTTGACATAAAATGTATGAAAGAAAATGTGGAAAACATTTCGGGATTTCCTGTGACCTCACAGTTACTTGCAAATCAAGGTAATGTGAGCCCTGTTGCGGGCTGTTGTTTCGCTGTTTTCACCAGAGCCCTCTCCAGCGGTCTGCACGGAGTTTCTGCCCGTTAGTCTGCCTGAGTACCCTTCACTTTTGACAGTCTGGTTTATAGATCATTTTCATGAAATCTGATCTGACAGCACCCTGCTTTTTATAAATTAACAGAATACAGGCACTTTTTTAAAAAAAAAATGTGGTTAAATTTATTAGAGAGAGGCATTCTATACTATTCCAGGGAAACCAGATGCATCGACCAGCCCGCTTGTCCCTCCATCACATGGAAAGGCATCTTTTGAAACATACACACTCTAAAGCCTAGCAAGTTTGCAGAATGTGTTCTAAAGAGAACAGAGAGAAAGCTACAAATGCAGCTCCTTTTTGCCTTGGTTCCCAAGTCGTTTTTCCTGCAGAGAAACACGTTCCATGCATGTGACAGTGCATGTCGCCTCTCTCTGACCTAGTCCTGCCATGTCCTTGCACTGGGATGTCTGCCTGAACCTGCTTTTCCCCCAAGGTCACGCCTAACTGAGTCTCTTTCACTACACGTTAAGTCCACGGCATTTACCTTGTTTCTTCGTGTTTATTTCATCTTCAAAATGAGTGCCACAGAAGACTTTGAGACCCCGATCATTTAAGTAGCTGTGGCTAGTGGATCTGATGACAGGAACTGAGTCTTTGACCACCTACTTCTAGGACAAGTGTAAAGTATGGTTGGCTTTTAGCCAGCCACATATAATTCTACCCCTGCCTGTAGAATTCCTGGTATTACCCAAACACAGAACTTAATATTGTCTCCTGAGACGCACAGCAGTGCCGTGTTTAACTCAAAGTGAAATGAATGTCAGTACTCCATCACGTTTCTGTTCGCTTCGTGGACGCTGGGACCTGATAATGGGAGTCCTGTTTCTTCCAGCTTCATGACTACTGCAACTTTGACTTAAGTATTTCCATGGCTGGAGATTCGTTGAACATAGAAGGACCGAATTAGTTCAGCTGTAGTCTTTACTAGCTTGTCCAAAACATGTCAGCTTCGCTGTCCCAAAGGAAAAGATCGAGTCTTTAACATTCTGTCGCCCTTCAGTGCTTGTCACGTCTTTTGAAGTGTGTGTACATGAGTGTGTGTTCAAGTGACCCTCATCTCCAGCTAAGGGTTTGACAGAAATGCCAATCGTGTTGTCAAACATAGGTGGTGTCCATTTGTTGCTTGAGCAGTGGGGTAATCGGAACCCCTCTTTGTAGCAGTTCATGATAAGCACAGTCACTGGTTGTAGTAAACCTCAAATCACTTCAGAAAGAAGTGATTTCTCTTGTGTGTGAAATTTTACAAAGCCTAAAGTTCTATATTTCAATCGAGACTACAGAACATGTATATATATGAATGAAGTTTTCGTTCCTGTGCCAAGGTTTTCTATCCGTTATAAATCTGTGCAGAATTGATTGGTCATCTTACAGTTTATTTAGTCATCTAACTTTCATAACAAAGCTGTTACAGCATATATAGGGCAGTAGATTATTGTAGGTTGCGGCGGTCAGCTCTGCCCGTCTTGCCATGTGCTATATAATACACGCCGTGAAACACCACCCAGGACAATGCCCAGAATGTAAGGATAGTTCATGAACACCTGACACACCGAGTAACAGCTTTCTGTCACCACAGTCGCAATGTCATTGGTGTCTGATTGAGGGATTCTACCTGCCCTACCATCCTGTCCTTCCCTGTCTCGGCAGCACTTCCTCCCGAGACAAAATTTTGTACATGGGTGTCTTAGAGTGTCTATTGCTGTCAAGAAACAACTTGACAACCCTTATGTAGGAAAACATTTAATTGGGTGGCTTGCAGTTTTAGAGGTTTAGTCCATCATCGTGGAGGGGCGTGGCAGCATGCAGGCAGATTTCAGGCAGCATGTAGGCAGGTTAGGGTATTGGAGAGGTAGCTGAGAATTCTGTGTCTTGCAGGCGAGAGGAAGCAATCTGTCTCACTGGGTATGACTTGAGCATATATGAGCCCTCAAAGCCCGCCCCCACAGTGACATACTTCCCCCAACAAGGCCACACCTCCCATTATTGCCACTCCCTTTGGGGTCCATTTTCCTTCAAACCACCACAATGGGTGTATTTTTAGTTGCTGAAAAGTTTAATATATGGGCAGGCTTTGGAAGCTGAGACACTCGATGGCCTTAAAGGGACAATGGCTGAATAGAGGAGCTACTCCAAAAGGTAGTCAAGACCTGTGAAGAGCCATAGCACCAATCAGCCAGTGCTATTGAACTCGAACTTGCCCTCAGGTTCTTCTCCAGTGACTGCGTGCATAGTCAGTCTGACAAACATCTACAGGGATTCCTCCACATCAGCCACTGTTCCAGGTTCTGGATTCAGGACTGACGGAGATCGTGTCCTCCGGCATCTGACTTCTCTAGTGGGAAGAGAAAGATGCTGGATAAATAAGCGGAATATACATGGGTAGAGAAGTGCAGTGGGCAAGGGTACCATGTGCCAGGTTTCCTACAGACCCCTGAGGCTTCTGCTCACAGTCAGACACTAAGCCACTGGAGGAGCCTCAAGGTCTCATGGCCTGACTTGAGCTTTGCACGGGGCTCTGCCTGTTGTGCCAGGAGCCTACGCATGCTTATTTCAGGGAACCAGGTGAGAGATAGCGGTCTCTCGGACCAGGAGAGCAGCGGTCCAGAGAAGAGATAAGATGCTGAGAGCTTCAAGTGGTGGGATTTACAGGTAGGTGGAATGTTGGCAGGGAGAGGGAGCTTCAAGACTGACTCTATAGTGTTTGCTGTCAACAGAACAAGAACACATTAGACATTAACACCCTGGGTCCCATCACAGGCTTGTTTTAGTGGCCAATTTCAAGATGAATTAACTGAACAGTTAAATCTGACCTCGCATGGGAAGTGGCAGAAGGCTTTCAGCAATGCAATTCTCTGGTACTAGATGCTTGGTTAGGTATCCCTGAGTTTGCAAGGATGCTCCCTTCTGGTGGGTGTCTCGTGGGTTTTCATAGGGAAGGAAACCTGCTGTCTGTCATCCTACAGTGCTGCTTTTCCCAGGCATTGATGCGGCAAGGGTCATTGCAGTGCCCCAGCAATGAGTCCTAATCACCGTTGTCTTATCCACTTACACGGGACAGGGTGGCCCCAGGGCGCCATGATAAATGTTAACTGAGCATTCATTTAAACTTCGGCTGTGTCTTCTGCAAATGGAAGAAAAACAGTAGGGTAGAAGTCGCAGAGAGATCGATTTCAGCTCAGATAATGCTGGACTTGCCAATGTCATGCTCAGGTGATGGTGACCAATTCAGTCACTAGCAACACTGAGGCAGCGACTCATCCACCCCACACCTCCATGGTGCCTTCTGTTCCTAGGCATCCCCTCCCCCACCCCACGGCTTCTAGGGCCTCTTAAGTAGAACGAGTTGAAAGGGCTCTGACTCTTACTAACCAGGTCTCAGGGTGTGAGTTATATAAATCAGGTAATGTACAGATACGGGTCCATGCTCTCAATTCAGCTCGGTAGGCACTCACATATAGTTCTGGAGTTTGGAGGCATCTCCACCTTGTGCTTTTGGTTCATATTTGCAGCCCTGCCTGAAGACACAGCCGTTTTTCACAGCATGTGGAAGGGAAAACCCTTGCTCACTGAGAGCAGGAGAAAAGAGAGCCCAGGATGATGTCCAGGCCGCACATTTCAAGGCAGGCATGGCTGTGTTAGTTAGGTCATATTGTCGTGAGCTGAGAAGTAGCCAATGACTAGCTAGTGACCCAGAAAGTGCAACCTTAGGACGTTCTTTTCAAATGCCGCTGGTTTCCTCTGACGAGCTGAGGAATTCTATATCTTGTCTTTGGCGCCCCTTGTTGTTCCTACTCCCAGATGGGAGCTCTTTCTTTTCATCTTGTGGCCATCTTCCTGCGTTCATGTATCTTGTTACTTCAGGGCTTTACCTGATCAGCTTCTTCGCTTAACCAGGTGGGAAACTGTTTCTGCCTCTTTAAAAAGGCCCAGAGTTCTCATCTCTTGGTATCAGCACCCACCTTTCTTCAGCTCCTCTATGGAACCTACAGGGAGATGGCTCAGCCATAAAGAACTTGCCAAACGCCCATGAGCATTATGAGTTCATCCAGGACCCAAGGGTTGTCTGGTCAGTTGGTTGATTGGTTGGTTGGTCTTTTAAATGCCAATGGTATAATGTAATCCTATGCTTGTAAACCCAACACTGGAAAAAAAAAAAAACAAAAACAAGC